AGTGCTTTGATATAATACAGGTTTTCTTAAAAGAGTCCATGAATATTCTAGAACACTTGGAAAAGAAATACAATAATATGTTTCCTATTATTATAATCATTTTGCTTATTTTTCTTTCCCTTATTTGTTGAAGGTATATTACTATTTTTTAATCGTTCTCATTTATCAATGAAGGGTTTTTAAAAAATTTAGTTGTAGTAATATTTTCACTAATTTTATAATTGACATTCATATTGTTATATAACCTTCATTAGTGTCACTTTTTAATGGCTGCATAATACTTTCTTAAGGCAGAAAGTATAGTATTAAACTTCCTCTACTGTCAGAAATTTAGGTGGATTCTAAATCTAGTTGGACCTCTTACATACTATATTTTGCTAATTCCTCACATGTACAGTTTGAAGAAAAAGGTTGCAGATTTTTGGAAAAAATGGTGATGGGTTTTATTTAGATCTGTATAGCTGATCAGATATTTGTAAGCAACTCAAGTACAAGCATCCAGAAGATCATCTAAATATGTAAAGGACTCACAGATAGGCCTGCAATGACATTGTTTAACAGGTATCACATGAGAAGAAATAAGTAAGAAAACCTAGAGGTAAATATGAATATCTTATTATAGTTTATAGCACTCAGTCACAGAGCACATGGCCTCCAAACCATTTTCTCTTTTTCTTCTTCCTACCAACTTTCCCATTAAATTTGGTTCATTTGTATGATCAAATGAAAACAATTCACCTAAACTAATTCACGCAAAGATTGAATGACTGATAACCTCACACTGCCATTTTCTCATTTAAAAAAATGGAGGCTCAAGAAATTTCTGGATGCATGAAGGCGATGATTCATATGACATAAACTATTTTTCATTTGCCTTATTGTAATATCTCTCATTTAAAAGGATAAATCAGACAGACATCTATCCACCATCAGACCAATTTATAACACTGTAATAGGTAGATTGCAGTTATCTGTTTATATAATCTTTTCACTGGACTGGAAGAGAATATAAGTCCTATAAAGAGTCCCAGGGTCCATGTCAAGATCTCTGAACCCCTTGCCTGAATTCTTTCCTTCCTTCTAAATCTTTACAATAGATGTCACAGAGAATGTGTGCTCTTGGCAGTTTTATGGTTGAAAGATAAAAGTTTTCTGTCTTATGGCTTCTATTTTTTCAGTGACATGTAAGGCAAGATGGATAGCTGTGGATATTAGAGAAGAGAAGGTATAAAATAATAATTTTGAGAGTGGAGGAACTAATTTACTAAAGAAGTGAGGGGGATTACTTGGAAATACTAAGTACCCATTTGGGACTTGTGGTCAAGAATTTTTGTATCTCAAATTCAGTATGATACTGTGTTTTTTACCCAGATTCACTATACTTTTGTTACTTACAGATTGAAAAATACTTAATAGCAGAAATTTCCTCAGCATTCATTAAAGCTATTGTGTTAAAATATGGTTTATCATTAACAATAGTAGCGTGATACATTTGATAGATGGAGGTATATATACATGCATCAAGTAATACTGATCTAGCCACTGACAATGCTTAGCACAATTAATACCTTTTTTTTTTTTTCCATTTGGCCCCCAGATCCTGTAATAATACTACTGTCCTACTGGGATCTGAATACCATAAGTTTGGAACCAATCTTACCATAAACTGTTGAGGCATGAAGGGGACATAGAAATTATGAAATTTGGTGGTTCTATTTGATTACCATAATCACTGACGGGATCTTAAAAACAAACATTGCAAAGACTATTGCAGATCTATGGGGGCATCACTGAGGTAGAATTAGACACTTAAACTAATCAATATTCTTTCCCTATTGTCAAATGTACCTTTCGTTAGTGGTAGGATATTTATTTGTTAATTTGATCATTTCCTATATCCCCAAATCAGGCCATAGAGTGATGCTCTAAAAAGAAATTCGTTAGGAAAGAAAAGACACAATTTTGAAAGTTGTCACCTGAAATAACTGAGACGTTAACATAACGGGAGATACTTACGGTCAAGAACACACTCTATAGTCCCAATATTCCGTGTTACCTCTATTAGATTCTTAGACTTCTAGATGCAGGAATGGTTTCTAAGTTCTTGGACTGTGAACTGGTTTTGTATGGTGGCCGGCTGCAGTCTAGATGGCCAGTGTGCAGTGAACCTTGGAGTTTTTTTCCCATTCTTATGAAGTGTGTGTGATGCTTTTCAGTATACTTCTGCTCTGACCTACGACGCTGTTCAAGTGATGACTGAAGCTTTCCGCAACCTACGGAAGCAGAGAATTGAAATCTCCCGAAGGGGAAACGCGGGAGACTGTCTGGCAAACCCAGCAGTCCCCTGGGGACAAGGCGTAGAAATAGAAAGGGCCCTCAAACAGGTTAGTCACTCAAAATGATTATGAATGTGAGTTAACAACGAACACTGTAGTTTTCTACTACATTAGTCTCCTTGTTATGTGTAATATAAAGTGAATAGTATTTCCTGACTGCACAAAGGTAGGTTGCAGAGTGAAAAACAACCTTATAAATGTAGTTTTCTCGACTGGAGCCCAGTGAGAGTAATCTGTACCCCGTTTGTATCTTTGCTTGAAGTAAATTGATAACTGTGATGCTTTCCCATTTCCTCATTAGGTTCAGGTTGAAGGTCTCTCAGGAAATATAAAGTTTGACCAGAATGGAAAAAGAATAAACTATACAATTAACATCATGGAACTCAAAACTAATGGGCCCCGGAAGGTAAATCATTAGGGATCTAAAGGCAGTTTTCTCTCTGTGAGGAGGTGAGTTAATTACCCATCACCTCTTCTTCCGAAGAGTCCTGGAAAAGTGTATTCACGTAGGTAGAGTTTAACTACTTCCAGAAACAGATGTATTTTAAAATGTTTTGTTTCCTAAATATAATCAATTCCTTTCTGGTAAGTAACACTGAAATGTAATCTTTAAACAACTGTGAATAGAACTCTTTATATGTATTTTTTTCTATCAAGGTATAAGAAGTTTAATGAGAAGAGAAAGAGCTATCGCTGACAGTTTATGGTTCAGAAGACAAAACATAGCTGGTGCAAATATGCGTTAACGTTTTAGCTCAACACCTTCCTTTTAACTGTTATGGATACAGTGTCATTGCTTGGATTTTATTTCTATTTCTATACGATCACTCCCAAACAGATTACCCTGGGAAAATATGAGAAGCGAACATGAAGAAACAAGCTGTTTTTAAGAATTGTTTTTGTTTCATTGTTTATATAAGCCCTATTTCTATCAGAGTCACATATATCAAAGACACATGTCTGTTTAGAAGAAGCCTAGTTAATGTAGATGTAATTTTGGATGCAGACATGAGTTTGAAATTATTAAATTCTTGGCTAATAGAAAGATCACTTATCCATGTGCCTTTCTGTAACCTTTTTCAGATTGGATACTGGAGTGAAGTAGACAAAATGGTTGTTACCCTTACTGAGCTCCCCTCTGGAAACGATACCTCTGGGCTCGAGAATAAGACTGTTGTTGTCACTACAATTTTGGTAATTAGCTACAGATGCCTATGCTTTACTTTAGTTTTTCTTATGGAAAACATCTGCCAACTAGAATTGCTGTTTGCATTTGAGGATAACTAATGCAGTGCTGCTTTGGCACCATTTTAATCACGTATAGCATATTTACTCTGTCAAAAGGACTACACAGGCATTAAGTAAAGCATTCAAAATATTTCCTATCCTCTTCAATACTGAAATTTAGCTTGACGGGTAATTCATACAGTGGTGCATCACTAAGTGTGAACGACTCGGGAAAGTCTTGAAGAGCGTTCCTTGTATTTCCTCAAGTGCTTTACCTTTCACTTCCCATGCAGTTGTGGGTATATTCTCTTTTTACATTTGTTACATGGTCTTAAAGATAAAGATAATCTCCCTTTTTTTAAACCCCCAAACTCAACACAGTCGTTAGCACAGAGCCAGTGCTGAATGAATGAGACAAAACTGAACTGAATCTTGAACATCTAGGCTTTGGATAGATGGAAGGAAGATGTAGATCCTCGTGACAAGCTGTTGGTGAAATGAAATGGAGGAAATGGGGTTCACTAATAGTACATGGTTTTATGACAAAACAGTTGTATTTTCTTTTATTAAGCAGTGATATAGTAAACTTGTGGGATCCATTATTCTGACAATAATGAGAAGAACAACATAGACAGGTTAATAAAATAAGAGATCTGGATAAAAACATTGGCATTTGGAAATATATTAATAAGGGTAAGGAAGCTAGACATTTGAGGGATTTTGCCTTAATCATGCCATTGAGAGGAACTGTATCCCTGAGCCCCCAAATATGCTTGGTGCCACTTTCCAGGGGAGGATATTGGGCTATTTTGAATCATTTTCATACCTCCTTTTCTTATGTTTACAGGGGGAAGCTGCTCTCTATCCTTGTAATATTATTCTAGGATAGAATATCTCATAGATGAAGTGAGACATGAAATGTCAGAGGGTGGCATCAGCACATGACCATGCCAGTGATTGTTTTAGTCTGTGCATCACTGACCATGAGCCTCATTTCCCCATGAACCTCACCCTTGAAGAAACAGTACACAGAGTTTTGGGTGAATGCTGTTTCTTGAGGACAGCATAACCTTAACATAAGAGCATGGTGGATCCAGAGTTGAATAAAACAGATGTTGAGCAGCATAATTCCCCTCTAAGCTCTAGGAGTTAACAAGCATGACAAGGGGACAAGCCAACAGTTTGTGCTTTTAGTTCTTATTTACTTTTGTATGGCTAGGTACAAACCATATTAATAAACTGTAACGGTAGACGTTTGATAACCTTTTTCCAAAAGTATCACGCTTAAACATTTTTTGCTACTATTGTCCGCCATTTATATTCTATAATTTCTCTGGCTAACAGGTAATAATTAAACCACAAGACTTGATTCAGTGAGAGTAGTTACACAGCTATTTTTATCAATGAAAGCACTGTCTTTCCATATAGGAATCTCCATATGTTATGATGAAGAAAAATCATGAAATGCTTGAAGGCAATGAGCGTTATGAGGGCTACTGTGTTGACTTGGCTGCAGAAATCGCCAAACATTGTGGGTTCAAGTACAAGTTGACAATTGTTGGGGATGGCAAGTATGGGGCCAGGGATGCTGACACGAAAATTTGGAATGGGATGGTTGGAGAACTTGTATATGGGGTAAGTATAGCTCTTCTCCCAAATAAAGTCATTCAAGTGAACTTTTGTTGACAGAATGCCTCCCTTCCCTGCAAAGTGCCTATATCTGAGGTTGTTGGTTTCCCACATCACTTAAGAATATTATTCTATTTCCTTGTGAACATCTGAAGATTAAGGATGAAGTCAGAAGCACACACGCACACTAAATGTGATAGGCCTTCTATCTGTCTTGAGGCCTATGGGCCATATGTATTGTTCAGAGGCAGCAAAGGCATAGACGCGGTGTAGGGATGTAATTATAAAAATCAAGTCAGATGGGTGTACTGTGTATTTATAAAAAGGAGGGATATTTGGAGAACAGATTGGTTTTTTGTTTGTTTGCTTATTCTTTACTGGGACATTACCAGGGAAATAATTATTGACATTTCCCTTATTTCCTTTCCTTCCCTTTTGATCCAATACTGTAAGCATGATTCCTTTTTGACCATGACTCCAGGTACTATTACTTTCATTTGTTTCCCTTACAGAAAGCTGACATTGCAATTGCTCCATTAACTATTACCCTTGTGAGAGAAGAGGTGATTGACTTCTCAAAGCCCTTTATGAGCCTCGGGATATCTATCATGATCAAGAAGCCTCAGAAGTCCAAACCAGGAGTGTTTTCATTTCTTGATCCTTTAGCCTATGAGATCTGGATGTGCATTGTTTTTGCCTACATTGGGGTCAGTGTAGTTTTATTCCTGGTCAGCAGATTTAGCCCCTACGAGTGGCACACTGAGGAGTTTGAAGATGGAAGAGAAACACAAAGTAGTGAATCAACTAATGAATTTGGGATTTTTAATAGTCTCTGGTTTTCCTTGGGTGCCTTTATGCAGCAAGGATGCGATATTTCGCCAAGGTTGGTCACTCACCTGCTTCAACTTTGTGCATTTTAGGTCTCAAGTGGATATTCATGGTGTTTATGAATTCACTTAAAGAAGTAAACAGCTGCCGACTACCTGTCCAAGCAGTTTGAGACTCTTAAGGACAGGCTTTTACCATCGGCATAAGCCTGTGAAATATTTGAGCAATGTTCTTTGAATGTTGAGCATATATTTCCTGGTGAAATTATACACACCATGGAGAGGCTATAAAATGCATAAGGTTCCTATCATTCCATGCCTTCTTGGAGGGGTACCGTGTTTTTGCTGCATATTCTCATTTTACAGTCATCTGTGTGTTGATCCACAGACCTGTATATGGGAAAATGGGCAACATTACTTATTAACTACAAAAAAAAAACTTGTTTTCAAAACTTCATTGGCACACATCCCATCTCTTATTTTCCCATTATTAGCTCATGCAAATGGTATCATAAAGGTATTATAAAATTTGTTTTTTTTTTTTTTTAAAGATTAGGTCATTGGATGAAAGGGAATATACAATAACCTATTTCCCAAGTACATAGAAATACATGGCTGGGTAATAATGATGATTGATTCATTACAAAGGCTTGTGCCATAATGAATAGTAATTCACACACATAATGGAATAAATTTATGCACCTTTAGTCTCATTATGATATATTAATTCCTGCATTAGAATCCCTAAATATAACAAATATGTCACAAAATACATTTTGCCTTTGTTCATGTGACATACATGAATAAGAATGATAGCCATATCTGGTGCTTAAGAAGAATAAATTATACTTTTTCTAATGTGATTCTTTTCACATTTAAAGCCAAATTTATTTATCTTCTGGCACATTTTAATCTAGGTTTGATTACCCTCCTTTGATTCTATGGGATATTTTAATGACTAGTAAAAGGGGTGACTTTTCTAATGCTATTTCATTATATTGTTAGTTTTTGAGCACTTTGGAGATAAGTGATTAATTTCAGAAAACTATGTGAGACACTCAAAATATATGTACCTTCTTGCAGTCTTTTTTTGTATATTCCACCCAGTGAGATCAATTAAATATATCTTGTATGTAGAAATTATTAGTGGTTTACTTCTCTGTTAGTAGGACACATTGTTAAGAATTATTTGGACTTTAACAAATCTTAATTCCATAAATTCCCTGTGACATTATGGAACTGCTCTAAAATAGAAATATGCCAGTGGTATTTACATGGCATATATGTGTAATAACTTTAATATATAATGATATAGAATAATATAGAAATATAGAATAATTGTATATAAAATAATATATAATTATGGTGACCTCTGACAAAATATATAAGATTCATAGTTTTATATTTAGTTTATCTGATTTAAGTTAAAGACATAAAGAGAATTTTTTAATAATGAGGGAGAAAATCCTAACCAAATGGAGATTTCTGAGAATACTCTGGTCCATAAATAATAATAAAATTATTCATCTTTGGTAAGAAAGCTACTGAAGTATAAAACTACTTTATTCCTGAGATATAAGGCAATTTTCCTAGGGTAACATAAACTATGCTCTGCCTTTTGAATAAGTAAGGAGAAGCATATGAGGTTCATTATAAAGTAAAACATATTGATCCAGATTCCCATATGTCGATCCTTAGGTTTGCGATCCTCACGCATCATGGCTCTGAAGTTATTTGTTTTGGTGTCCAGTGCTTATCAAGGCCCAGACAACATATATTTAGGGACTGAAGCACAGGCACCTTTCATAATCTGTTTTACCCCAGTGTCCACCATCACATACAGATAACGTCTAAATTTCAATGAGCCTGTTTCCTAAAATATGGCCTTTTTTTCTGTGCTCTTGATTTCATTCATGAGTCATGACTTACTACAATTTCACATGCAATAATTTTTATGTCCTGCTAAGATTTTATATAGAATATTTTTTCTTGCTATCAACTGATTTATTTTTTTGCCACAGAGTATATGTGAACAAAAATTTGCTTTATTAAAAAATTTTAAGTGTACATATCTTTCATTCTGCGTTATATGTACATTTAAAAATTGAACATATTGGACGATATTGGAAAATTTAATGATTTTTTTAAACAAACCAAACTACTTTTTTTGCAATGTAATGGTGGTGACCCCAGTGTAGAAAAGAAGAATAGAAAAGCCTTGTATCTAATGATGATGATGATGATGATGCATGAAATGCACAGATCACTTTGAAATGCTCTTTAAATATCTTCAAAGATATTTATCACCTCTTTTCAAGTAAAATATTATGTGGAACTATATTATTAATATTAATAGAACATTTAAATTTTAATCTGGAACGATTTATTGAACTGAATTGGTCATTTGTCTGAAATTAAGTTTAGAATATATTAACTATAGTTTTCCGAAGACTACAACCACAGAAATTGGAAGAGTAAAAGGCTGTAAGTTGACTTTTATTCTCCTGCTTGCCTCTGTTTTTATCCCCAATATCTCAAAAGGATTAAAATGAATAAAAATACCATTCTTAAAATAATTATTTAATAGAGATTTAAAGGAAATGATAGAATACGTATGTCTATTTGCTTCTTTAGGGCAGATGCAGAGAGGTGAAGGTTGCTTTTAGTTTAGTTTTGTTTTGTTTTACTTTTTTTTTTTACAGAAACCATTTTTGTCTGTCACCCTAAAACATAAATTGCATTTGCCTCCTCCACAAACAATTTCTTGGGAATTCTTTCAGAACATTAATTGATCCTTTGAAAACATTTACAAGTAAATAATAAGCTGCTCAAGAATTTTCTGCTTTGAATGTTGTATAAGTTCAATACATTTTTTGAGATATCTTATAAAACTTTAAATAAATTGGCATATTTCAGCTATTAAATCTGACATAAGCACTGGAACTGAAAGCAACTTATGTCTTTAACTTGTGTTTATTTCACAAGTGGAAAAGAATTACTTATAAAAATGATTCTCAAATATATTACCAATTACTATGCAGCGTATAGTGTCAAAGCAATTACTGTGAAGTCAATTTTGTTTTAAGGGATCTCAACTGCCCTCTTAAATATGGGGTACATGTCATATAATTATACCTTTCATTTTTATGGAATAAATAGTGAACGTTTTGAGAGTGGCTGTGTCTACACAAGAGGTTACTTAAATTTAAAATGTGTTTAATATCCTTTACAGAATATAAGAGAAGTTAACTTTTTCCATCCTGTCATATTTATTTAATTCTTTGCATCTCTCAGAGACTGTGTGTGATAAAGGCTCTTATTTATACTGTTTGTTTTTCATTGCTTGCTCACTCTTATCCTTTAGCAACAGATGGTCTTGTCTTTAAAAAAAATTTACTTTTAAATTAGTTCCTCACTCTTTCTTGACTGCTAGAGTAGTTTATTCTACAAATATTACCCAATGATTTGATATAGTCTCTGTGTTTCATCAAAAGGTTTATTTCTTACTGTTAAATATCAGGAGGTCTGTTTTAGGCCATAAATTACCAAATGTTCATAATTTAACTTTTTAGAAATGTTACATCTTTGCTGTAACAAGTTTAATTGTTAGACATGAAGTTATTAACAAAAAAAGTATTATTTTGGATTGTTAATATTACTTAAATCCCTTTATATGTAGAATCCCATAAAATCTTTCAAAATAATATGATAAATATCTATTTCTATATCTATGCTTATCTATTGAGGGTTTAAAGTTAATTATTAGGAACCTATTAAGCTTTTAAAAAGTATTTTAAATAGGAATTTATGGCTAAAAATATTTTTATTTTATTATATTGCAAATTAGAAATTTGTATTTTGGCAAACTTTTAAATGTTCTAATTTCATTTTCCTTGAGTTTTCTTTTTTTCTTAAGCAGGAGGCACAAAGGAACAGGGTCGTAGCAGTCCATGCCATGAAGCATCAGATTTTTATTCATTAAGAATTATATTTTGTGTCATACCTTTGTTTGTAATATCATTTTTTTTCCATTTTCTATCCTGCACTGTATCTAAAACCTGTTTTTGCACACACAACCCTCAATGAAATTTTAGCCCTTTTTGAGGGTTTGGGAACTTCATTGGCTGAATTACCAGGAGGGTTTCATCAGTTTAAAACTACATCTGTGGTTCACCTTCTTTTATTTTTAATATTTGATTTTGTTTTTCAACATTATTGCGAATTTTGTGAGTGATCTTAAATTCTCTTGTTCGTGTTTGCTTATGTCATGAATGGATAGTAGTATGAGAATTGGATGGATTATTTGCACATGTCTTGAAATTGCTTCGTTATGAGATTTCATACCATAAACAATTTGGGCATTATTACTATGAAAGAATCTGAAGAATCTGAAGTTTTGGCCTCTGGGTATCTCATTAAATTCAGCTTATCTGTACTCCTTCCCCAGAATGCTTAATAGTTTCCAGTTTTATTAACTAGCAGATATATTGAAAAGTATAAAGTTAAATATTCCCATATAAGTCAATATTTGCATAATACTGCTAACTTGTTTTTTTTAATTAGGTCATTCATTTCACTTTACAAATCCATTTCATACTTGTTATTAGATCCCTCTCTGGGCGCATTGTTGGAGGTGTGTGGTGGTTCTTTACCCTGATCATAATCTCCTCCTACACGGCTAACTTAGCTGCCTTCCTGACTGTAGAGAGGATGGTGTCTCCCATCGAAAGTGCTGAGGATCTTTCTAAGCAAACAGAAATTGCTTATGGAACATTAGACTCTGGATCCACCAAAGAGTTTTTCAGGGTAAGAGATTCTGTTTGTGATCTTCTGATTTTGCTCTTAAAATGTAACCATTTTAAACTTTGTCCCCCTCCCCCCGCACTCCTGTGCTCTACACAAAGGTGCTATGCGATAGTAACCTCCCTCTCTGTCTTAACTCTACTTCTGTTCTTGACCTTGTCCCCACACCTTTCCCTATCCCTGTCCTCAGCTCCATCTTTATTTTCTGATGCCTAACTCCTTAGGAGAAAAACACAGCATTGCAATAGAATTATTTCATAATTATTCATTTTTAATTGAATTTTATGAAGATTGATTGTCCTTTTGGAATGAATTGAAGCAAAGTATAATTAAGTTTAGGTTGTTACTATTTTTGAAACAAAAATGTGTTGTCTTTGGTTTTATTTTAAATGAACATGACTGTCATATATTTTAAATAGTTTACAGTTGAAAACTCACTTTCAAATCAGTTATGTTAATTTCTTGTCAGAAAACAGATTATGTTAATGTGTGAAAATTCCGAATTTTTGTCAAAGTCTCCAAGAAAAGGCTAACAAAGGTCTTTAGCTTTTTAAAAAGAAAGTGGGTAGCATGATTATAATGTGTCGATTAAGTGTATTTTACTTTTCAAAAACATTGTGCCCTTTTGGTATTTGTTTATAGAACAAGCCCTATAACCTGATGTTGGTATAATTTTCTTTCGTTATGCTATTTTCTCTATATAAGAACTTATTATGTTAAAATATTTAAATACAGCTGATAAACTTAGGAGTTCAGCCAATATATATAACATAAGATGATCTCTGATTATCCAACAGTATCTTTGAATGCATCTGAATTTTCTCGAGTGAAATCTAGGCAAATTTACTTCATAATTAGGATTAGGACTTCATTTTCCAGTTGAAGGTAGTAGAGGATATAATTTGAAGACTGGTTCGTCTACATTGTGTCTGGTCTCTTGTCCAAATAACTTCAGTTGAACTGAAATATGATAGAACAAGTGGTGGGGGCAGACCACAGTTGATAACAGATAATAATCTGGGTATGTGTAGGGAAGGCAGGACCTTGATGTTTTCTGTAAGCACTGCAACTTAAGCACACAAATGTGGTCAATATCTCAGCAGCTACTTTGACTTTAAGGCAGTTCTGTGTATGAATGTTATAATACAGATTTGCTACTGATGACAATTTGCTTTCATTTATGAACATACATGAATATGTACATAAATATTATTTTTTAAAAGTTTATTTATTTTGAGAGAGAGAGAGAGATCAGGGAAGGGGCAGAGAGAGCAGGAAAGAGAATTCTAAGCAGGCTGTATGCTGTCAGTGTGGATCCTGACACTGGGCTTGATCTCAAGAACCTTGAGATCATGACCTGAGCTGTAATCAAGAGTTGGACGCTTAACCAACTGAGCCACCCAGGTGCCCTGTATAGAAATAAATATTCTTAATGTACCACAGTGCTCTAGCTTGATCATAACAATGGATCTATTAAAATAAATTAGAATATTGCATGGTTCTTAATTAGAAGCATATTTTTAAGCATGTTTTATTATTTGTATCCCAATAAGACTTGCATTTATTTTATTTGTATAGTTCATTAGTATTCCTCCATCTTGAAGTAAGTGAAATATGTGAATGAGGCAAAGTACCTGCTCTATCATGGTTTACTTAGTGCTACTAATATTGATTAAAACAATCTCGTTTCCATATAGTCTCTTACAGTACTGTCATTAGCTCGTTTGCACAACAGAAGTACCAAGTACTCTCAACTACTTTACATTCACATTTCCAGAGCTTTGCAGTATACCTTAACTCAGTCAGTCATAGAATGTGTATGTGTAATAATCAAGATGCCAAGATTCTGTGGTCAGTATACTCAAATTCTTAGTAGACAAGATAAGAAAGCTAGACGACTCTGGAGAAGAATGCTGTTACTCTTGTGTTGCAATGCACACAAAACCATGAGCATGGAGACCATGGTTCCAATGTGCAGTATATGTATGGATGTGTATACATACACACATGCCAACATTATTTGTGCTGTGCCATTTGCCAACGTAAGATAGTGAGCTTACCTTTCCTAGAGTAATAGAGAAGTGATACTGAGTATTTAGGCAAACTAATAACTTTTATTAGCATAGCTTTCCAAAGCATTTTCTTATACATTATCTCTGTTAAAGCATAATTAACATACAGTGTTATATTAGTCTCAGGTGTATGGTAAAATGGTTCAACAATTCTATGCATTACTCAGTGCTCATAACGATAAATGCACTCTTAATTCCCTTTATCTATTTTGCCCTACAGCCACCATTTTGTTCTCTGTATTTAAGAGTCTGTTCTCTTTTTTTCCTTGTTTGTTGGGTTTGTTTCTTAAATTCCACATTTGAGTGAAATCTTACGGCCTTTGTCTTTCTATGTTTATTTATTCCACTTATATTATTCTCTCTCAGTCCATCCACGTTATTGCAAATGGCAAGATCTCATTCTTATGAGAGATCCATAATAGTCCATCATGTGTATATTCCACATCTTCTTTATCCCATTATCTTTTTGAATCTCACAGTACTTCTGCCTAATATTCGGAGTCATGATTTTTGTTGGCATACTTTGCACTATTAAAGTAAATTTTGCAGACATGACCAAATTCAGGCAGCTAATAATTGTGCTGAGGGGTTCTTTCCATAAACCATTTTCACATGCAAAGAAAGGTCTCTGGATTTTTTTTTTGCTGCACCCTTGCTCGGTTTGGGTTACATCCATGTCTGCTTGTGTGATATTAGAGAATTATAATGGTAGAAATTTGGGCAGGGCTTCACCTTCCTCTCAACATAACTTCAAAAGGAAACTGACGGTGAATCAACTGTGGTTAGGTGTCAGTGCATATAGCATCATAGTCAGCTTCTCCTTATCTAGAGGAAGAAGAGCATGGGCTCAAAAATACATAAGGACCACACTATTTATTCTATTAGTATTTATTCCCAGTAAATGGAAGCTAACAAAACAGCACACTTCAGCAAAGTGAATAGGAGCTTGGCATGTTAATTCTTCCATTGTAATTTGTTTGTAATTTGGTGGCAATTGGAGAAATTATGTATACAAAAGGTTTGTTTCTGGAAGTTGGATTAAAGAAAAAGGTGCTGCTAAATCAAGAGTAATTTTGATAATTAATCAAAATTATTAATAAAAATTAATCAAAAGTATTAATGTTTGATAATTGGGTGCCATGTTGAAAATAGTGAGGACAATCTTGGTTTTGCTTTGAATCCCCCCAAAAAAGTTTTCTAGGAGAACTGTGGCATTCCAGCTGTATCTCTCATGCCTCATACCTTTCACATAAGGTTTATTGCAATAGCATGTGGAGCCTGAATAAAAGATTCTCTTTTGAAAAAAATAATTTCTCTTTAGATTGTTATCTAATATGTATTGAATACGGTGAAGCTAACTTATAGACATTCTAAAAGTAAATATAATTGATTTCCACTAACATTCTTTCCCTTCAATCCCAGGGTATAATTTCTCTTAGCTGTAGTCTGGTTGAACTTCTAAGCTTCTGATGGAAAAATGTTACAAAGGAAATTCTCCTTGCTTCTATTCCTAAAATTAATAGTCACCGCACATCTTGGGTCATTCTCTCTCAATTGTGCTTCAGCTCTAGGCATGCCTGGAATTCCTGTAAGGTGGATCCAGGACAGGATGACAGCTGGCAGATTGATTAACATGATGCCCAGTCTGCCAGGGAAAGTGATATGGATGGACTAGGCTGAAGTTAGACTGAAGACATGTATTGTACTCTATGTTCTCTAGACATCTGTTGTGCTTGCTTTCAGATCTCAGACAGCTAATTACATGTGGAAGAAAAAGCATTTACCATTTTTCCCATTTGCTAATATTTAGAGTTCTAACAGTTATCTTATGTTTCCTAACATGGCTTAATTTGGCTTTATTGATAGCTCTTTCATTATTACACTGTCTATGATTAGGGATTTTATTATTATATTATGAAAAGTTTTCTACTGTCATAGGGTTCATGAAGCTAGTTTTCTGTGTTTACCACAGCAACAGCTTTGGATTTAGTCATTGGAGAAATTGATTCGAGAAGTCAGGTCATTGTCTAAATTTTGAAGATATATAACTAACAAAAGAATGAAAAATAACTTGTCTTTTGTCTGAATGTTAACAAATATTTCCTAAAAGTGTATTTTTGTTGGAATGAAAGCATGTTATTTAAAATTATAAGATGAATCTTTTATCCCCTTTGTAGGGATCTATCTGTTTTGTCCTAAGGTGATATCGGTTACTCAATTTAAGTCCAAAGTATTTTCAGATTTCAGGTAAATAATTTAATAAATACTGTATTGTAATTATATTCCTTTGTAAAGTCAGTGAGTGTGCATTAGCTTTAGAATTCCAATTTCAGCTATACATTTTCTAACTTAAAATCAGTGGTAAACAGTAAAACAAGTATGAATGAAATATTTACTTTCTTCTGCTAGAGAAAGACAGTAAATGGAGGACAGTCTTGTAACCATTAGGGAAAAATGTGTAATAAGATGGCCAACAGGACTGATAAGGGAATTCCAGTCCTAGTCAGAAGACTACCCTTCCGGGATTTCCTTCCTACCCTGCTTGCCACAGGCACCAAATTACTACTAATGAGGGGTGCGGAAGTAACAGACTATAAATTGTCCCATCTGTTGATGCTCTGGGCTCAGATCTCTGGAGAATGATCTCCTCTGGGCCCACCAGTATAAAATAAACCTCCTTCCTTCCAAGATCTCCAAGTGCCACTTGCTGCTTCTGCCCGGTGATCCAGACCAGTTTCTGTAACATAGCCACCAAGAGGTATAAGGGAAAAGACCCTGCATCTTCATTGTCCGGGGTTCTCTGCTATAAAACTCGTGTACGTCCTTGTACAGAGTGAATGATAAATTCTGACTCATTTTGGAGCGCCGATCATCTCTAATTATAGTGCTGCTGTAGCATACCTCTAATAAAGAAAGAATTAGGCCTTCAAT